CATATCAGAAATGTGAAATGGAGTTTCACAGATCCCACAAAGCCACTCTGGCTGACAAAACAACGTTTTACATTACTGCCAGGGTCACAATCTTTGGAAGAGCCATGTGTTGCCATAGGTTTCATGTATCCATGGATACTAATGGCACTGTCCCTCCTTCCTTTCATTCATTCAGCCACACAGATCCAGAGGAGGTACAAAAATATCCCACCCACTGCAGGGAAAGGTGTCCAGCATCCTGCCACTTCCCACATTTCCCACTGCTATAGTTAAAAGACATGTGGATGCTAACATTCCAGTCACACAATTCCAGAGTAAGAAAGCCTGAACCAGGAACCTGGTTATTGACCTATGTGTCAATAATCAAAACAGGAGAGAACTGCTTGCTTAGAAAAGCCCCAAATCACTGGATGAGAGCTCAGATTCCACACTTACTTCATCAATGGCAGACTCCTCGATCAGCCGGGGAGCGTCTGAGGACAGCAGGCCGTGGGTGGCCATGACAAAGATCTTGTAGGCCCCTCTCTCCTTGAGGGTCTCAGCTGCAGCCAGAAAGCTGTCAACATCATCTATGATGTCATCCTGCCAAAATCCCAGTCACCGAGGGTTCACCACACCAGACAAACCAACAGAGCACATCTGACTGGCAGCACAGCTTTACCAAGTGTAACAAACCCCAAACTATCTGAAAATTGCTCTTTTTTCTTGACAAGCCCAGAAATTACACTCTGCTTTAGAGAAATCATGAGTGCATCAAGGAATCATGGAATGGCCTGGGTTGGAAGGGACCTTAAAGATCATCTCATTCCAAGCCCTGCCATTAGACCTTTGCTCAGAGTTCCACACAGCCTGGCCTTGAATGCTTCCAGGGATGGGGCAGCCACAGCTGCCCTCATAGGGAAGAATCTCTTCCTTATATCCAATCTAACCCTACTTTCCTTTAAGTCTGAAGCCATTCCCCCTTGTCCTGTCACTGCAGGCCCTTATTAATAGTCTCTCTCCATCTTTCTTGCAGGCCCTCTCCAGGTACTGGAAAACCACAATTAGGTCACCCCAGATCCTTCTCTTTTCCAGGCTGAACAACCCAGAAAAAAAAAGCTTTCAGCCTTTCCTCACAGCAGAACTGCTCCATCCCTCTGATCATCCTGGTGGCCTCCTCCAGACTTGTTCCAACAAGTCCACGTCCATCACCTCAGCTTCACTGGCATTTCTAAAGTCACCAGCAGGAACAGGGTGACTCTCCCCTCCTGTGGTGTGCATGCAGCAGCTGAACCCCTGCAGGTAAGCACTGAACTGAATTTCACCTGCTCTGCTCATGGAAACCAGGTCCATTTGGCTTTTGGAGTGGATCCCTTCAGAGCTCCCAGCCAGCTTTGTGGGTGTACTCAATGCTGCCCCATCCTATCCAGAAGTCCATCAGCAACCAAAGTGGCTGATGTGGAACAGATACTTGATTTCTGCAGCTTTAACATCTTTAATATGATTTAGGAGAACTGATGGCATCTCACTTACCACAATGATAGCTATTCTTCCTCCTACATCTCCAACAACTGTGATGGGTGGTTTTTCCTTGGGAATCAGCACTGATTAAAAGAGAAAAGAAAGAAAGAAAAGAAAGAAAAAAGAGAAAGAAAAGAGGAAATTTATATAATTTATTTGAACTATAGAAGTGGCTGATGGGTCATCACTATTAGAGACATGAAGCAGCAACTATTTCAACAGCATTACTGAGAAAACCAGCAGGATTCTAACTCATAAATAAATTTTTAAGCTTAATTAAAATACTAACTGCATTAATTTATACCTGAATTCTTTACCAATTCAATTAATTCTTAATTTCAACATAGAAACAGAGTGGCTAGCAGACACAACCAGTTCAGTCATCCATTGACAGCCACACTGGGTTTATGCCCTGCACTTTTGGAGGTGCAGCTGTAGGTCACATCCACATTCAAGCAAGAAGGAATCGTATTCTCCCCACTATGAAAGATGTATTTTTTTCTTTTTTCTCTGTGAAGAACCGCTCCTTTTAGATTCTCCATACCTGCCAAACCCAATCCCTAAACCCACAAAAACACCAGGTAACACCTTCCCACACACACTTACTTACTGGGGATCTCCAGGCTGGGGTGGATAGCAGCTACGTATTTGGCTGTGGGAGGGGAGTGCCGACCATCCACC